ACTGGACATTGTTATAAGTTCTAATGTCCTCAAAGCATGTAGGTCCGCGAACAATATTGAGCAACACACGTAGAAAATATGCTTCTTCTATGTCACGTGGTGCATAGTTAATCCTCCCAATGCTGAATCCTTTTTTCCTTATGTGAAATTTCCTCTCTGTCTTGTTCCAAGTAAACCTTGTTGGAATTTCTGCTAAAGTGAGTTTTCTAGCAACAGAGCTGACCTTATTCAGTTCAAACCAGCCCAAGAACATAGTATTCTCAATTAACACACGACTGGTAACCTCCTCGTATGTATCATCATCCTTAAAGATAATAATTTGCTTCCCTGGTAAATGGAAAGAAATTTTTTCCACAGGCAATGATCTATAATGAATAGGAAACTTAAATATCCGCCATGCACCTTCACAAGCAGAAACATACCTGAAACAAAATAAAATATGTACATAAATGCATATTGTAATTAGTGTAAATAATTATATCTTTTAAGTGACAAAAGCATACGTACCTCCCTTTAAAGAAATCTTTTATTTCGTTTTTCTCTTCTGGAGTAGAACTCTTTGTGTTCGCCTTGTCCTCTGAAGTCTCTCCTTCGATTGGTGGCTCAACAACAATTGTTACCTTATCTGAACCTTTGTTGATATACTTAAATAAGTATTTTATTGAACCTGATTGATTACACCACTCGACATTGATATGAGCTCTGTAGCGAAGTAATAGATCTTTGTTATAGGGTATAACATATCTATTATCGCATTTGAACTTATTTTTTTCCACAAATCGATTATCATCCCTCCTCTTGTAAATTGGGAAGCCTTCTTTGTTCACTGTAGTTTTGTCTACAAACTGCTTTGGAAACATTTTAGAGCACTTACCATTTTCCATACATGGTGAACTCATATTCACAACTCCACATGGACCATGAATCATCATATCTTTAACCACTCCATATAGTTCTGGCTCCTCTGTTTTATCTGGAATCTCTGCTGATATTATCTTGTCAATATGTTCAGTTGTATGGAATTTCGAGTCTGGATGCATGAACAACAAAATGTGAGCATGAGGTAGACCACGCTTTTGGAACTCAATAGTATACATGGCTGCATATAAAAGGTCAAAATAGATTAGTAAATTGCACACATAAAGCAGAATGCACAAATATATATAGAGTTTTAAAACGCAAAGTGAGATATACTAACACGCAACAGTCTTCCCTAACAGCTCGTTATCGGTTAGATCAATCATTAGAGAATCCAACTTCATCTTGAACATCCGACAAATAATATCTGGTCTATCATCAGCCCTTAAGTTTCGTTTCTCCAAATACCTTGTAATCTCAGGCCATTTTGGATTACATGTAAATGTAATGAATAGGTCTGGGAACCCAAAATATTTACATATGGCCATAGCATCTAGATAGCAGTTCTTCATGTACCTTGGTCCGCCAATGAAAGAAGCTGGCAAAAGAAACTTTTTACCTTGATCATTCATATCTATCTTTCCTTCATTCTCCGCTTGCTTAATAGAGTCATAAGTATCAGACCTCAAACATTTCTGATTCAGCCTCAAAAAACTTAGCCTGTTCGTCTCTATTGTAGTGAAGGAATCGACCAGAAACTGTTGAAACAATTTTTTTGAGTGCAAAAGAGTATGACACTCGCCATCTCTCTCTTGAATACGAAAAGCAAACCATTGTCTCATACTAATAGTAGCCCTCTTTAACTTGTCAGTCGCTGGCGTAGATCTTTTTTTAATTCCAAGTCTGAAACCATCTTCACCATATGTAAAAATGAGAGGATACTGAAGTGCAAGATATGAAGGATGGATCTCACTAATCCTTTTAAACCTTCCAGTTTGCTTTTCTTCTAAAACAATGTCACGTTTGTCCATCTCTAAGTTAAAATCTCCTGGGATTAAGGCAGCAACCTCTGAAGCTGTTGGAGTATCGTATGTCCTTCCATCTTTTTCCCGGTTACTAACTATCCTCATATGAAAAGGCTGACTCTCATTCAACTTAAAACGTTCTCTGGCAGTTCGGAACTTCTGGACATAAGGATTAACATCGTCCAACACCTTAATAATATCCTCTATAATTTTCTTTCTCAAGGTGTGCTTTTTAACATTATCTGCTTTCTTCTTGTATTTGCTGAAATATGAACCACAAGTTAAATTTAGTAACATTTAAATTAAAAATTTTGTTGACACATTTTATAATAGATATCATACCTGATTATGGCATCTCTATCATCGACCTCATGTTCAGTGTCAACAATATACAGTTGAGAGAACTTAGCTGAATCACCAATATCTGGTTTCATACTTCCCATTAGGTGGTAGTTTTCTCCCTGTAACTGAAACATCTGTGGTCCACGTCCTTTTGCACATGATTTTTCAGTTTTACCACCAAGAGATGTAAAAGAGAAAAGCATATTCAGTGATCTCAAATTTTCTTGGTAATATTTGCTCTTCTCATCAGTCCCGGTAAGCAGATTCTTTATAACCAGAGGGCTCTCTTTTAATAGAGGTAACTTAACTTGTCCTTGGCCACAACACAGAGAGAATTGAGGGTTTTTTCTCGTTTTCTTCTTTCGGTTCAAACGTTCGTTGTACCACATAATAGCTCCACAATACTCACATTTGTAGGTAGGATTACCATCGTCAATGTATGCTGTAAGTCATAGGGTAAATCAGTATATATCGATCACTGTAATACACATAAAAGGTAAAACAACATGATAAGCAACTTACGTGTCTCTTTAACTACAGTTTTTGGTTTGGTTTTTCCGATGTCACCAAAGAAGTTTTTAAACATTTCGGCCATATTCTTTATTTTAGTTTTTTGTTTCTCTGATTCCAAATTGACTGGTGCTTCTTGGGCATGAACTGATTTCTCGGATTCCGTCTCACTTCCTTCACTACTGAAGTCGTAAATCTGTTCAGCGTAGCCTTCTAATACATGACAAACATTTAATATAAGTTATNTCCGATGTCACCAAAGAAGTTTTTAAACATTTCGGCCATATTCTTTATTTTAGTTTTTTGTTTCTCTGATTCCAAATTGACTGGTGCTTCTTGGGCATGAACTGATTTCTCGGATTCCGTCTCACTTCCTTCACTACTGAAGTCGTAAATCTGTTCAGCGTAGCCTTCTAATACATGACAAACATTTAATATAAGTTATGCAGAAAATATAAAAACAAAATATTTATATATATACAAAACTTACCATCTTCCGAATGATTATCATTTTCCTCTGATAGTTGGTAGATCTCAGTTTCATTCAAAGCTGTAGATTTTGTTTTCGATACCTCAATCAGAGGAGTAATATATTGGGATGTGCAGCCTTTTTCAGAACTCACAATAGCTGTAATGTTTATAATGGAATATGTTATAAAGCTCATGCATTATAAAAAATAAGATAATCAGCCGATTAGCTGTCAAAAATACTACAAATGAAATATATACATACATGGAACATCTGAGTGTATACGGCTCTTCTTTGGAGTTGAAGATATATGTAACTTTTCACTATCTGTCAGAAGTAGACTAAGTATCACACAAAAATTTACATAAATGTTGCTATTTGAAATACAATTTGAGATGCGTATACCTGGACTTATTTCAATATGAGATATTGAAGCAGAACCAGCCTCACACACATTAGTAAGAGGTGTGTTTGTCACATCTTGCAAGACTCTACCAAATATAGATTTCAAAGAAATTGTGCTGTTATTTGCCTGTCTATTCGTCGATGAATGTGAGCTCCAATTTATATCACCACTTTCGTGTTTCTTCCTCTTGTTCATAGTAGCTTGTAAATAGTTCAATCAATACAAAACAGTATAAATAATCTTGCATTAGATATATACAGGATAATTTTACATATATAAAAACTTAAAATGATATATAAAACACGGGTCAATATTATGTAACTTACGCTTGCAATGACTTGTGCTTGTTGGAGTTGGCAAATTCAGTGCTTTTCCATTAACTGAAAGTGAGCTCCCCTTTATATCATCACTTTCGTTTTTCTTTCTCTTGTTAATAGTAGCTTGTAAATAGTTCAATCAATACAAAACAGTATAAGTAATCTTGCTATGAGATATATACATGATAGTTTTACATATATAAAAACTTAAAATGGTATATAAAACACGGGTCATTGATATGTAACTTACGCTTGCAGTGACTTTTGCTTGTTGGAGTTGACAAATTCCGTGCTTTTCCATTAACTGGCTGTTCATGTTTACTCTTTGGAGTATAATACTTCGCAGAGTTTCCATTACCTGTTCATAGAAAGATTTATGTTTGACATATAACATGTACTTTAATAGTATTGATATGGACTATTTACTAAGTTCTAATTTTGCAGAAAAAGATACCTTGTGAAGAATCGTATAGTGTGTTTATCGATCCAGAACCACCATGACAAACACGCTTCAGAGGTATGTTTGTGACATCATCTAAGACTTCCGAGCGTATTAGATTATCCTTCAAAGGAGTTGCGATATTAGTACCATTTTTATGCATAACTGATTGTGAATTCTCATGATCATCTCCAGTCTCATGTATCTTCCTCTTCACTTTGGATGGTTGAAAATTGCCAGACATCTCAAGGATGTTTTTCTTTGTCTTCTTCATAGTAATAACATGAATCCTGCTGATTTTCGTCTGAATAGGTTAAAATATTTTGTGATGAGAACGTGTTTTTCTAGTTATATATATGATATCATGTACAAATAATATATTTTGTTTAGATTCTCTTGTTAAGATTTTCTTTTGTAGTATACATAATATACCAAACCACGTACATAATATTTATTGCAGGCAGCGAGATGTCATATTTACTTCAAATATTCATTTGAAGGTCATGGATCTTTCATTTTCGGCAACATTTTTCAGAATCAAGTAAGTTTTAATGTTTCACATTACATTCAGTAGAAGTTGAACATACAATGGTAGTTAGGAAACAACGTTGGAGACTCTATTGGTAGTTAGGAACTGACTTCAAATATTCAGTAGAGCACATAATCGGTGCTCTATTGGTGTTTATTTACTTTGGCCGAAACAAAATATAAAATTCAAGGGTAATTTATTATTTCATAACAAATGCAAAGATTTTTGAAAATCTATTATTAAGAAGACATAGATAAAACTTTAATAAAGACGCATGTGCTTGCTAGTACTTCTTGTTCTTCTAAATCTCCTCTTCGGAACGGTCATTCTTAATCTCCTCTTCTGAAATCGTTTCAATCTTGATAGTTTTTAAACACACCTTCTTTGATGTAGAAGTAAGCTCGGGAACATCATCTCGTTCATCTTGTGACCGTTTTGATGAAGGTGTATTAAATAAACTTGAGCTTTCTTCCCCTTCAGTCATCTGAGATCCCTAGCAAAAACAAATTATGTTAAGAACTAAAGCACATATTCAAACATTATAAATGCATTACAACATACCACATCACCAATGGTCAAGGTAGTTTCCTTTGCTGATGTGGTATCTGACGTATCACGTCCCGTTAGAAAATTGTTCATAGACCAAACTTTTAGAACTTTGTAAGATTCTACTCCATAAGCAATGTTTTCTTTCTCAATGCCAACACCAAACTTGAAAGTTTTACCAATAATATCCTTAACTGACGTTGGCAACAATTCAGGATCTTCGATCTAGTCATGACATTGATAAGTATAAACGGTTAAAAAACGACCAAACAAAAATTTAATGATTAAATTATAAATATATCGTTTACCTCATCCAAAGAACCGTTAAGAATCTTTGTTGCCTTTTCCCTTACGATCATGTTTGCTATAGTATCAAGTATCAGAAATTTTGCTAATCCGGTATCATCTTTAAGCATTAAATGAAGTTTAAACCTTTTATAGACAAACACATTCATAGTTCAGCTGATATTAACTCTTATAATAAAATATTTTAATAGTTTTTTGTGAAACATACTTTGGTGAAACATTCGTGACAATCCGGTCGCATTTCTCACACCAGAAAGTTGCTCCATCCCTGAAGGTTCTATGGTTGCAAACATCACAACCCCAATAATACCACCCATAATCTGTATCAACAGCATAGATTGTAGCTACAATCTTGCATTTTTCAATCTGAAAATATCATAATCAAAATATAAACATAAGTTTAGCTTCATTATAATAACAACGTGGGATACAAACATCATAGTAGTCAGATTATCGTCACAATGCCATAATCAAAAAACAGTTTCAAAATACCTGAGTTGATTTCAACATTTCGACAATGGTCTTATCTTCATACTCATTCCATTTGTCAACCTTCATTTTGTTATCAGCTTTGGCCAACTGATGATCATCATGGTTTGATTCAACAATAGACAGTGATGAATCTTCAAATTTAAACCTGTTTTAAATGACAAAAACATAGCCTATATTATTGGTTTAATTAAATATTTAAGTCCCATAGTGATACGTACGCTTCTTTCAGATCATATGCTTCTTGTATTGCTGGATTTATAACAACTTCTGAAGTATCATATGCACTGGAAATTTGGAGAATTCCTGAAACAACCCATGTTAGCAATAAAAAAATCAAAATCACATGTATAACTGCTTATATGCTTATTTGTTTACCTTTAAATGATCCTATCTTAGCAAACCTGATCATACAGACAACAACACCCATTTGTGATTCTTCACCATAGGGTTCCATCATTTCAGCAAATTTACCCCAAAGACAACATGCAAGGCGCTCATCACTATATACAAAAAAAAATTCAAAATAACATTAATATATTGTACTCTTTATTTATTCGAACTTGATTAGTATAATAAACACACTTACTTTAAGTTCCGCAGTGTGAATTCTATCTTCTTCAAACTCGCTCCATTTTGACGTTGGATAATTTGTAACTCTCCAACATCCAAGGCTTGGCCAATAACATCTACAAAAAAAAGTTGATATCTTACCTAATCAAAGATTAAGAACAATAAAAACGATATTTCTATTTATATAATGAATATTACCAATCAAGAAATCCGAATTAGCTTTTCCACTCAAAACAGTTTCAAATTCCATCAAAGATAGATACATATCTTTGTTGTGGTAATCACACTCAGAAATCTTGGTGAAATTGATAAAGGTAATCTTTTTGGCGTGTTTTGTTGGTCGGTAATGACCCTTGGCGTCTGTCACAGCGAAGTTAGTAATGTTCTTCCACTCACCAACAACACATTTGCTCCCCAAACTTTTCATATAGGAATGTTTACATGTTGCAACGATCTTATCACCCTGCAAAATAAATGTGTATCTACATTAGAAACACATGATAATAGCTTGCTTATAAAACTCAATGTACAAACAAATGATTTCAGTCTACCTTCTTATCAGCAAAAATGATTTCAAGGGTTTCACCAAAAGCAGTGTTTGTTTGCTTCCAGGTGTGGATTACTTTCAGTTGAATAGACCAATCAGTTCTGGAAGATCTCAACTGGGAAAGGTAAGAAATTTTCTGCATTTTACTCATTTTCGAAGAGGGGAAATAATTTTTTGTTTGAGAAGATTACTGAAATACTACGGCTTTTATATATAGCTTAGAAATGACAGTGAAAAAAAGAATATTCGGATTGTTTTGGTATAATTTTCAATCATAGAATGATAACGAAAATCTGTGTAGATTATATTAGTTAGGAGGGAAGATATTGTGATACGATGATAATAAGGTATATCCTATTATCTAACTAAGTGAAAATAGTTATTTGGTACTGATGTTGTTATGGTGTCCGCTTTTTATGTAGGCTGTTTATGATTTTGTTAGAATTTAATTTGGAATATACTTTTCTTCTCGATTAGTTGAAAATTTTTGTGAAAAGGGATATTGTATTGTTACACGGATTATAACATTTTTTTTTGTATTTTAGAGGTGTATATCAACTAATATGTAGGATAAGCATCGATGGATATATTGGTTTTGGAGTCCAGAAAAAATAGGATTTAGGGTTTGGTTAGGTAGTATAAGATATCACACATCATATGTAAGGTAAGCACTGATGGATATGTTCACAAAAGTTAATCATCTTGTTTGATTGGTGTTTTCTATAGAAAAAGGTATTCATACCAAAACAGAAGAATAAAAACAAATCATACATGGACTAAATTTCAGTTTGCAGGTTCTTCTATTTTGTATGAATCGGATTTATAATCGAGGAGGATAAAATATATAACTGATAGACAAACTTTATGTTAGTTTCATTAATGTATGTAACATTAAAATAATACTGCATTGTTATATTTTGTTAGCAGAAGATAGAAACAATATTGGTTTACTTTGTATAGCATTAAAGAAGGAAATAATAATGTTATTTGGTCATCCGTTGGTTGTGAAAAATATTAATATTGTGAGAAGTTTATGTGAATTTGATAGGAATAATATTAGTTTAATTGATTAGTATAGCATTAAAGAAGAAAAATATAAATGTTATCGAATAGAATAATATGATGCGTGATTTTTGGGACTCTCTAGTGGTCTTTTTTTATTTCCCGTATTACCCTTCTAGACACCTAAATTTCAAAGCAAAATTGATGGCACAAAAAGTAATATACCAGGGAAGAGTAGGGGTAAATTCATAAAAGGGTTCCTGTTTTAATAGTATAGATACATATATATGTATTTTGAAAATCTGAGAGCTAAAATCTCCCATTAAGTTGCTCTAAATCTAAGACACTTGTAGTGTTTAAGTTAATTTTCTACTGATCAGTTATTTAAAAAGAAAAAAAAAATTAATTATAAAATTAGAATATAATAAAATATTAATTTTTGAGAACTCCAAAGTAAGCATCTCCACCGTTAAGGATGCCCTAATTATTGGTAGTATAAGTTAGAAGGTTTAGCCTAGATTTTTTTGGCTAAGTTGGGTTTAGGTCAACTGTTCCATACATCGACCGATGTATTCATCATCTTCGGTGAAAAATGACAGAAACACTACATTTTCTCTCCAAATTATGTTTAGGAGTACACTACATCTCTTTTTAATCGACCTTTGCTTTTGACAGGTTTTGGTTATTGGTTTGGGTTGAGAGACATAAATTAATGTACAGTATATGGAAAGGTTCAAACGAGTTTACATCAATCTATTAGTATTGTTACAACGAATGAATTTGTCCTCGAAAAAGTTTTTTATTTTATCGAAAGTTTATTGACTAGGTTGTGTAAGGAGAGATGATTCGCATATTATGTGATAAAGACGGGAAGTTTCCTCAGAGCGTAACTCTCCAGTCTCCTCAGAGCGTAACTCCCCAGTCTCCGTAAGGAATCAAATTTATTAAAACTGGAACATTGTTAACTTTTGCTCTTATTACTACTTGGAATATTACTTATTTTGCCACTGGACCTATTATTATTAAAAATTAATCTAATTCTAACTGCATGTAATTGATCTATATATTTTGCAGCCTTCACTTTAATCTCAAAACTGTCGTCATCCACTACTCTCCAATATATAGTCAACAGTTATATTTATTAATAATTACGTAACAATAACTTTTGATATAACTGAACCATATTAATTATTTTCTATTATAGTTAATTGACAGTATTAACATGCTATTAATAATTAATATGCTATTATATCGGATACTGTTGACTTTATATATTTATATGATGATTGATGAAATTTATCCTATTTCAAAAGAGTTTAAAATAAAAAGTTTTATCCTAATTAACCCATTTAGCAGAATATAAAATCATGCATAAATTCAAAATTTATCACTATCAACAAGATTTAACTTATTTAGCATAAACAAAAACAAAAATTGAAAGATTTACATGCATCTCTTCATTTTGTAAACTATACCTTATTAAAGTTTCAAATGATATAATCTATATATATTATTAAAGTTTCAAATGATATTAATTATAACTAATCAAAAACATCTACTAAATATATATTTTACAACCAGGTTTATCTTTTCAACTGGCGGTCGAGATCGAGTATGAAAATAATGCTTATATCTAATTCGTTTATAAACCATGTATAGACTTCACTAAAAATAATTAATGTAAGAAATGGCTACGGCATAATTAAAATGCTTATATCACAAATTTAATATAATTTACAAAATCTCTAATTAATAATTTAAAAAATAGATTTTACGAAAATATGATAACAAATAAAAATACATATATGAAAATTATTTTTTTTTTAAAAAAAATGTAAAACAAAAATATATCCATCCTTTCAAGGACGGGTCAGAATCTAGTATGTATGAAAGGAAGACTTTCAGCCAGATTCAAACTATTACAAACCTCTCCACCAAAAGTCAAAACGTATATAGGAACTAAATATTGAATACTATTTTTATTTAATATTTATGTGTTGATTTCTGATGTGATCATAATTTAACTACTAAATTTAGATTACACTAATATTTAGGGATCAAATCCAAAAAATAATGTTATGCTACAATTCTACCAAAGGAAGAGTAGAGCTAGAAAAAATAGGGGTTTTTGTTTCAAAATGTAAGAAGAAAAAACAACAACAGAATATATAAGCAACAAAATTTATGGATAGCATTAGGAAGTGAGTAATTCTAAAGAAACACCAGATCATATAAAACAAATAGTGAATACATTAAGAACTGTTCTCGAACTCAAACAACATAAGAGCAGGTTTATTGGTAGTTTTTAAGTAGGTCTCTTAGGTAAATTTAGATTAAAAATAAATGAAAAATAGCAATTAAGCTAAGGGGCGTAGTTTAATTAAGAGAAGAAGAGGCCGTGTCTTAGTGTCACGAGTCGGAAGATGATAGGAGAGAGGAGAGGTGGTGCTCTGGTTTCGTCTCTTTTCTTCTTTTCCTTCTCTCTTCTCTGAGGCGACCGAATCGCCATGATCTGAGGCGACTGAATCGCCGTGATTCCGATCTGTTTCCTCAATTTCTTCACGAATCTCCTATCTCTCTGTTTCCATGGTCCTTTGGGATCTTCAATTTCTTTTCTGTGATTACCAGGTACCCCCCTTTCTCTTTCTCTCTCTCAATCTCAGTTTTTGTCTTTTGTTAGGATAGATAGCTCTCCAGCACCATTGCTCAGTTGATCGAATTTGAGTGTAAGTGTAGTTCATGAAGAACTCCAAATCCTGAAGAGTCTACTTTGAATTGCTCTCCATGATAGAATTGCCACCAAGACCATACTAGTTAATTGAAAAGAAGAGACTTTTATATCTTTCATTGTGAAGTGAATGTACCTTTATGTGTTGCAGTTTGAAGTTTCCAAGTTAAATTGAAGAAGTTTCCAAGTACAGCTTTATGCTTGTAGACTAACAATTATTTCTACTGCAAACTCAATATTACTCTCTGAGACTCATACTTGCATATACATATAACTCACTGAATCATTTTGTTTCGTCTGTGTTTCTTGAAAATGATTTTATAGCTGGACCAGCTGCACCAGAATCCAAATGGAAAGAAGATGAGTTGAAGTTTCGATCTGCTGCCATTTCTCTCACTGTACAATAATTGAAAAAACATCTTTGTCTTACAGAAAATGTGAAATGCTTTTTTAATCCAACAAGAGATGAATTCAAAGGTTTTCTCTTGAATCTATACTTTCTGATGAATTCAAAGGTTTTCTCTCAACTTCACTTTAGTATTTAAGATACTACCAATAAATCACTAAGATTAAAGATCTCTTAGCAAAATCTCTTAACTTTAGTTTAGTATTTAAAAAATCACTAAGAACCTCTAAGTGGGTTTCACCAATAAACATGCTCTAAGTAGCTTAATCTATTTATGTAGCGCTAAACTCTATGTATTATTATCCTAGACTAACTTCCGTTGAATTTAGATTCTAAACAAGCAATAAGATCAAGTTGGATATATTCACTAAACTCCTAACAATCAATTCATGTTAGCCAAGATCATTTCGCTCATTCTAATTTCATTCAGATATTTAATAAAAAAACTTTGGCGTGTCAAACAACCTAAGATCAAAAACTTTGTCATAAATTTTATTCTTGCACTGATAACAACCAAGATGAAGAACCGAGTGGATATTTCCTAATCTAATTGATCAGTTTTACAAATCCATGATTCCTTCGAACAGCTCAAAGCCTAACATGTATATTACTCAGACATAGAACTAGAAACAGAGAGAATCAATGAATAATCCATAATAGCAATATAAATAAATAAAGGGGTTTTACAATTTTCCCTGGATCGTTTTCCCAATGCTTACAAATATCCAGAGCAATATAAAATCAAAAGTAAAAGAGTCTATCCTAAAAATTGGTGAAAATAGCATATATAGGGCTAATTCAATTTAGAGTTGGGTGTTAGGAAAAATCAAATCAAAAATAAGGAAAACTAACTTTTTCATTACTTTTTCGTATTGAACCGATAGATATACCAATCTTCTGTAAAATACACATAACTTTCAATCTAACTGGTAGATGACCTCAAACCGGTTTCACTAAAAAGCTAACTTCATTATATATCTTCTGAAAAACATTGCGAACAATCCATTGGTTAGAAGTCTTCCATTTACTGCTACAATTTTGCCGTATCTACACAATTATGCGTCTTTAATAACTATTAGGTCATCATCCGCGCTACGCCACGGGATTTATTTAATATATATATATATATATAGAATAATAATTTAGAAATGAATAACTATACCAATATTAATGGTAAATGTATTATTTAAATATTTACAATGTTAAACAATTTGTTTTTGAAAAGTCAGTATTATATTAAAATTTTGAGATTAAGTACTAAAAATTAGAAATAGAAATGATTACTTTTTTTAAATTAGTAATATGATGGCGTATTTTTCGACATTGATATTATTAAGTTTGTATTTCTTTTGCTAATTTGTTATAAATTTGAAATGCAAGTCATGTATTTATTAGTTTTGAACTTTCTGGTGATGGCTTATTATAATAACTAGATACTTTTTCCGCGCTACGCGCGGATAACATGTTTTGAAAATTATCAGTTTTTATATGTTTATAAATTGTTGCATTTGATATAACATCTTTTTAAAAAAATTGAATAGTCAATGTGAAATTATTGTGTTATTTGTATACTGGCTTGAAAAAATTACAAAAATTGTATTGTAAAATAAGTGTATGAGAAAAAATATTAATAACACTGTTGTAAACTTAAATCATGAATTTAAAATATTATTGAATGTTGGTTTAAGACTGAAACCATTTTGAATATGTTTGATAGTGCAATATTGAATTGAGTAAAACAAAATTTGATAATATATAACATCAATTATCGTAAAAATATAATATTATATTTCTTAAACATATTTTTATTTTTTATATTTCTTTTATTTTATTTTTTTATCATTTTCTACGTTTCTTTTAAAGTGTTTTAAATATTATATTATAAATAACGGAATAAAGTTGTAAGATGACATTTAAAAAAAGGTAAATATAGTATGTGTCTTAGGTTAGAATTATATAAATGGCGATAACTTGAGATTTTGTGATTTATTTATACTACATGTTGACTGTTTGTTGTTCTTGGCTTACATATTTGCATGGATGTTTATCAAAATGAATAGTTATAATAATGACGATTAATAATAGATTAAATTGATAATATAATCCACCAAAGGATGAAAATTACTTACTTTCTACAAATGTTTTGGATAATATATGTGCGCTTCTTAAAGAAATTTGATTTTCATATTGCTTTCATCAGTATCATATATACCTCTAACACCTCGACTATCGCAAATATACACAATCACTCCTTTATCTAACCTGTGGAAATCAAATGTTGAAGTTTCTAGCATGAGAACATGAAAATTTATGACTCTTTGGATAATATTGGTTATGAGGTTTTACCAAAACTTAGCAATCTCGATTCCTTCTGGGAAAGAACCACCATTGCAGCAAAATAAAACTCAAGTGTTCAAAAAGAAGTCGTTGCAGAAACAAAAAGAAAAGCATTTTCTTGGTTCTGTAATCATCACCTGTTGTCTCAAAGATCCAAGACGAATGCATTTACATTATTGCCTCTCAAGGTCTCTATTTCTTCTTTTACCGCACCTACAACAAAATGTGCTACGAGTTTGAGAGGTTGTAAACCAGAATGTTGTAAAATAACGTCAAAAGAATGCATACCAGAAGCATTTTGATTGAATGTTGTTAGCTTGATATAACCAATCTTTGGGAAGTTACTCCAAGAGCCAGGAAGTTCACATAATCTTGACTTCACCGGATTCATAGAAACTCGCTCTCTCCTGAATTTAATAATAACCAGAGTGACCTAATGAACAAAGATAAATCTAAGCAACGCAGGTGAAAGGAAGAGAAAAATATGTTAAAGAGAAACTCTCGTTTCAGGTCCACTACGAATCGCTAGCTCCACTGTGCTTCCTTCAGGTCCCCTGCATTTTAACCAAACCATCATCACAATCCATTTTCTCAAAGCTAAAGAAAAGATGGAAAGTGGAATAAGGCTCACTGCAACATCTGTGCAGCATCATATATGGTGAGAGTGTCTGTGGTTGTATTATCAGTTCCTAGGATAACATCTCCAGGTGAAACTCCAGCTCTATTTGCTGGACCACCTGGAGCAGCTGATATAATAACCAGCCAGCTGGTGGTGATCCATCTGATGCAGCAGGGTAACCTATAGACAACCCAACACCTGTAACCGCACATTGAGTTCCAGACTACCTTCAACCAAAACATTCACTACATCTTACACAAGCAAGCCACTGATCACCTCACGCTCGTGAAAGCATACGCCGCTTACGCTAGAAAGCTCAAGCTCGACGCGTCCAAGCAGCTTAAGCTCTTTGAAGATCTTGCAATCAACTTCTCGATCTGCAGAGCAAACCTGGATTAAAACCTGAAAGCGCTAACGTTATTGAGGAAGATACGTTTAGGAAGCTTGAGAAAGAAGTTAAAGAGAAAGTGAAAACCGCAAGAATGATGATCGTTGAATCCAAAGAAAGCTACGACACACGGCTCAAAATCCAGAAGCTTAAAGACACCATCTTCGCCGTTCAAGAACAGTTGACGAAAGCTAAGAAAAACGGTGCCGTTTTGAGTTTGATTTCAGTTAAGTCTGTTCCAAAGAGTCTTAACTGTTTAGCTATGAGGCTTGTTGGGGAGAGGATCTCTAACCCTGAAAAGTATAAGGACGCTCCGTTTGATTCCACTGTGGAGGATCCGAGTCTTCTCACTACGCGGTTTTCTCTGATAATGTGATTGCTGTGTCGGTTGTGGTGAGATCTGTTGTGATGAACGCGGAGGAGCAGTGGAAGCATGTGTTTCACGTGGTGACTGATAGGATGAATCTCGCGGCTATGAAGGTTTGGTTTAAGATGCGTCCTTTGGAAGATGGAAACTATGTCCTGATTACAGAGAAGGAGTGATTAAAGCTCAGTCTTGATTATAGAGGAAGTGAGGTAACGGAGAGTAGGGGTGGGCACAATTAGTTGCTACTCTTCTTGTACTAGTTACTTGATTTCTACTTGGCTTTTAAAGTCCAGTACTCGTATTGTTCAAGTCGAATATCAAACCGTGTATTTCAGTTACTTGCAAGTACAAGACAAGTACCAAGTACTAAAATAAAAAGAATTATTTGGTGTTGTTGGCTTATTACTCATAACTTATTACTTGATTTATTATTCATTTTTACTTTTGGACAAAAAAATCTCTAAATTATAATCAAATTATTTGCTTATACGATAAATTAATTAAAAGTGATATTATAGAAATATTTTAGAGTTTCTTTTTTTTTTTTAATTTTATATTTATCATATATCGACTTAAAACATACCCCCTCCGTTTCGAATTAGTTGTCATTCTAGAGAAAAAAACCTGTTTCAAAATAAGTGTCGTTTTAGAGTTTCGAGGCAAAATTTATTAGTTTTATATGATATTCTATTTTTTTATTGGTTGAAAAGTGGATAGGTGTATAGGTAATTGTGTTTTTATCTTGAAAATATGTAAAATTATTTTTTTTCCTTAATCTGTGTGTAAAAATGTAGAATGACAACTAAAGTGAAACAGAGGGAGTATAAAATTGAAAACATTATGTAGATTATAATTATAACTAACTATTCTTTCTTAAACTCATATATAAGATTTAAGTAGAAAAAATTAATAAATTATTATTAAAAAACTAACAAATAATTATATAATAATTTATAACTAGTTCAGAAATAACAAGTAGTAAAATGGGGCAAGTACTTGCAAGTATACCATTTTTTAGTCTGTACTTGAAAATGTAAATATTCGTTTTTAACAAATCAAGTACAAGTTCAAAATTTCATTACCCGAACAAACCAAGCCAAGTACCAAGTAAGCAAAAAATGGCAAGTACTTGGCTTGTGCCCACCCCTAATAGAGAGGATTGGAAGCTGAAGTGAAAAGACGAAGCTGCGGCGGTGATAGATCGATGGAATAAACTGGGCTTTAGCGAAATTTTAAGCCCAAAAAAAGATCCAATAAGCCGAGATGATGTGGCAAAACAACAACTTCTGATTGGTTAGTTATTTTTAAGGATGTGGCATACTTCTCCTTGCACCATATTCCCCTTTTATTTATAGGAGATAATTGGAATAAAATTTAAAATGAGATTAAAATAGTAAATAGTACATAGCTTACAGAAAATTGATCTCATCTTATACTATCACGTATTAAGCATCTCATATGTTTTTGAACAATCAATTAGAACAATGTTTTTTACCAAAAAAAATCGAACAATGTTTGAGAATAAAGATTTTATGATGTCATTATTTTAAATCTCTTATATCCTCGAACTAATTAACATTTATATGTAACACATTACTCATATAATGATTTTTGTTGTCGTCATATAATGGTTAAAGTAGCATTATTTGTTTGTATATGTTATGCAAATTAAAGTTGATTTTTGATAATATGAATAACATAAAAATATAAGAAGATGAAATGTGGCATGTGGGTGTACAGTTGTGAATTTGTGACCACTCTTCTCCTCACCGTTTTAATAAAAACATTTTTCCATTCTCTTTTGACTCTCTCTCTCACTGAATTTTCGACATCTCAGAAATTTCAGTTATTTTCTAACCGTAAAACCAAAATTTGTACTTTTCTCTCCATGTTATAAATATATCTTTCTCTCTATAATGACTAGTTGCCTCTCCCCTGCGCAAGCATGGAACCGGAATCATTGTTGTTTCGTTTTTTTTTTCGATTGTTGGTTTAGTGAATTCTTCTAATAACACCAAATAATGATGAAATAGAAAGAATGTAGCAAGAGTGTAAACTGAAATATTGTATATATAATGTTTTAAATATTATTTATATGCAAAGTAAGATTTATAGGAATAGTTAAGTTATAATATAGTTTTTAGTGTGTAAAAATAGGTGTGTATCTTGTTTTTTTAGTTGTTGTAAACAGTTTTTATACCGGAGTCCGAAGGTCAAAACTTGATATAGTTCTTTATTTATAGTATTTATATTTGTACTAAACGATTTATCAATTTGAAAATAACTTTAATTTAAGTTAATATTTGTTGTTTGAGTTTCATTAAATAGGTTTTTGTATATGGTTCTTTGTAAGTTCGGGTTTTGTTCATGAATGATGTGACATTTTTATTTACGGCGTTGTCGACTGTAGGAATCCATTCGCCGGAGTCTGATAAACCATTAGTCGGTGGTGGGGAATGCTTTTATACCGGAGGTCAGAACTTGATATAATTCTTTATTTATAGTATCTATATTTGCACTAAAAAATTTATCAATTTGAAAATAACCTTAATTTAAGTTAATATTTGTTGTTTGGTTTCATTGGATAGGTTTTTGTATATGGTTTTTCTAAGTTTGGGCTTTGTTAACAAATGATGTGGCATATTTACGGCGTTGTCGACTGTAGGAATCCATTCGCCAGAGTCTGATAAACCATTAGAGTCTGTGGTGGTGAATGCTTTTATACCGGATGTCAAAACTTGATATAATTCTTTATTTATAGTATTTATATTTTCACTAAACAATTTATCAGTTTGAAAATAACCTTAATTTAAGTTAATATTTGTTGTCTGGCATTTTTATTTACGACGTCAATGACTGTAGAAATCCATTCGCCGGAGTCTAATAATCCATTAGCTGCGTGGTTTGAACCCATGCACTTAAGAAATTAATTAAGCGTTTTATATCATTCAGCTAAAGTGTAATTCATTGTCTGTAATCATTTTAGAAAGACTATGGGTTTTTAAAAATTAAATACGTGGGACCCACAAAATGCTGACGTGGCGTGTTGTGGAGCCTAAAAACTCTACTATATCCTCTTTATTTATTTCCACTCAAGTGCTTCACCATGGAAGTCTTAATACACAAAACTATATCAACTTATAAACTTCAAAATGTTCTTCATGATTTCCTAGTGACTCACAGATAAAAATATCTATATGATTTATCTCAGTTCCAAACCTTTCACCTCGGATTCAATGTAGTGGCTATATATCATGTCTCTCCGGATCAGAGTTTCTGTTTCTCCCAAATTCCCACATCAATGCCTCCACTTCTGGTTTCAGGTACCCACTTCTGTTACCAACGTGGATCTATTGAGAAACTATTTTTCGGGTTCGAAATCAACTTAATCGAGTCTTGATTCTTGTATCAGACTGAAATCTTTTAATATTTTATAAAAAAATCTCTGGTATGCCAAAGCATAGAAGTTTGGAAGCAAGAGATAGAACTGATTTGGATGAAGTGATGAGAATCATCAAATCAACACTCGTATTTATAAGAGTAAGAAATCAGAAGAGGCTTAGGTGAATTATTGTAACATATTGGGGGTGTGGATTGGATTTAAAGCCAAATAAGTAAGTTAATGAGATGATGTGAATATTGATCGGATGCGTTACAACCAAACTTGACACCACTGATGATATGAAGGAAGAAAGAAAACCAGATTGCCACGTGTCATTATCACATAAACTTAATTAGTGATATGTCATTTGTAAAGGGAGGAAAAGCCTCTTTCGGATTCTAAAATCCACTTAATCGAGCCTTCATCCTTGTATCAGACTGAAATCTTTTAATATCTTATAAGAAAATATCTGGTATGCCGAAACATCAAAGTTTGGAAGCAAGAGATAGAATCGATTTGGATGAAGTGATGTGAAATATCAAATCCGACACTTGTATATATAGGAGTAAGATATAAGAGGAGGCTTAGGTAAATTTATTGTAATGTATTAGGGGCGTCGATTGGAGTTAAAGCCAAATAAGTAAGTTAATGAGATGATGTGAATATTGATCGGATGCGTTAAAATCAAATCGGATACCACCGATGATATGAAGGAAGAAAGAAAATCAGATTGCCACGTGTCATTATCACATAAACTTAATTAGTGAGATGACATCTCTAGAGGGAAGAAATATTTTTTATATATATAGATATAGATAGATGTTTTGAAAACTGAACAGGATACCAACTTGGTATAACTATTGTTTGACTGGTTAGACCGGTTCAACCAATCAAATTGGGTTTTCTATTTTTAAAAATTAAATATATAATCATATATTTACACTATATAGACTTACAAAGTAATTGCGCAACCGCAAGACAAAGAGAGTGAAAAGTAGAGAGAGAAAGAGAGATCTGGTTTTTCCGGCCGACGGCAGGGCTTCCAAAGCCACCGTCGGTCCGGAGTTTATGTGTACTCGCCTATTTCGTTTCTTGTTTTCGAGTTGAAGTGACTGTTTTTGAGAGGGAGAGATCGTTCTTCTCTGTTTCGCTTGGTTTCCGGGCCGTGGAGGCTTATTCAGTTTCACTGACGCCGACTTTTGTTCTTGGGAGGTGGAGGCTCTCTTAGCTCTGCGTCGTCGATATCTGTGACCTTTGGCTGTGAAAGTGTTTGGTGGTTTGTGGCTCTGAGGGAGTCGGGTTTGCTAGCTCGAGGTTTCCAGAGAGATGGAGGCGGTGGTTGTGGTGGTCGGATGAGATCTCGACTCGTTCTGATGAGTCTCTCCGACAGACTGATGATGGATCTGGGTTTAGTGGCTTCATTTGTACGCATGATGAGATCTCGATCTAGTAAATCGATTGATACTCTCCGTTTGGAAGAAGCAAGGGTGATGAAGTGGTATGTGGTGTAGATGCGTGCTTTTGGTAAGGTCGGTGAGACACCGTTCCAGTTCCGGTGTGTTTCCTCCCGGCGCCCAAGATGATGAAGCGGCGGCTGCTAGGGTTTCGAAACTCGTTCTGTAAGAGTTAGGGTTTCTGAATTTTGGGCCTGACCCTTTTGTTTGTTTTTCTTTTTTTGGGTGACACTAGTTTGGGCCTCAAAGATTGATGTATGGTTGTGGGATTCGTCCCTTTATAATATTAAATCAATTGGTAAAAAAAAAGACTTACAAAGTAATTCCATATTAAATATTTTATTTTCTCTTTTATTAATTAGAAAATAAACAATAAATATAAATCTAACTATATATATATACAGTAAACAAGTGAATACTATATAAAATTGAAATTGATAAAAACAAATGATTGAATGTTCATATTACCGTAATTATTTATATTTTTCAATTAAAATCTCAAATTTTATGAATATTTCATTTCTCACTGTCTGAAAGAGAGACCTATTTGTCTTAGTTCATCAATCCCGTCATCTAAACTCACATGTGCATACTAACTTTCTATGTTGCGACTTTTGAAAACCGTCGGAACCCTACTAAGACCAGATCCATCGGAACATGTGGATCACATAATAATTGCTAAAGCTTAACAAAGTTTATAAAGGTCGTCTGGACTGTTAAATGGATTGGGTTATACTCACGGTTACATTATATACATATTCAAACTTAAGAGATACCTCGCATTGTTCATTCGTCAAAGCAAGAGGCTGAAAAAAAATCAGCGATTAGTTGTGTTTCTTTTTTTTTGCTAAAATCAAAATTGACATAATAAAAGTACAAAAAATACGATCCACCAAGCAGAAAATATTCCAAACAACAAAACCTCACAAGAGTAAAATCCCCCAAAACCCTCCTTTACAGTCAAAGTGTCTTTGCCAAAAAAAAAAAAAAAAAACTGAATTACGCCTTTTTGCGCAACATATATCTCAATCTCAAATCCAGCCTTTGGCGAATTTAGTTCTCAGCTTCAAGAAACAGGCTGAGTTCCACATACCTCTCCTGTGAAGAAGACCTCGAGTCTCTCCTCCCTCTTAAGCTCAAACTATCCTCAGTCTGTGGCGCCAGCAACAAAGCACCACTTCTCTCTTCCATCACAGTCCTCCTATCATCTTCGTCCATATCCCTTAAACCTCTCAAGGCCATAGAATCCGAAACCGGGAAGTAGACAAGCAAGCAAATCGAAACCACAGACAAGCAGAAGAGGGACAAGAAGGCCAAGAAAGAAAGCGCCTCGAACACAATCTTATCCGCCTTCGTTAGTACTGACAAACAGAGCATAACAATCCTCAACGGAAGGAAACACGACACGGCGAATATCAAAGTGTACACTCTCTTCTGCAGACGCTTATTAATCACAAGTTTCAGTATCTTCCTCCCGAGACAGAACAAGTAAACCGTTAGCACGGCTGCAAACACGCCGAGGATGACGCTACTCAAGAGAGGATAAGTGCACAACGCAACCTCAACCTCGTCCTCCTGATCAATAATAACTCGAGAATAAGTTCTTGTGAAGTTGTCCGGCAGCTTTACATAAGACCCTTCACCACCGTTGAGGCGCGATTCGGATAAAACAACCGCGAGTTGAAGCGCGAGCATCGGGAGACAGTAGAGAAGAATGTAACAAGCAGTGTTCCTGTTCCATTTCCCACTCAGCGCCCCACCAGACTCCATCTTCAAAGGAGCACGGAGCAGAAACATGAGTGTGAGAAGGAGACAAGGCTCCGCAAACCCGAGATTCGACACGATATACCACTTGCAGACGTTTTCTTGCCATCTGAGATCCAAACCGCTAAGTATCCTTCTGTGACGCCTCAACAAACTCAACCGGAGAATCTCGCCGATACCCCACCAGATAGCAAAGAGGATGAAAGTGATTCTGATAATCCACGGCCCGCTGAAGTAACCGAGCTGGAGAAAGGCTAGCCTACGAACGTGAGACTGGAAGTAGAAAGAGTAAGCGATGCAGAGGAGACCGAGGAGAATGAGGAGGAGGACAAGGCAGATGGTCACAACGCCGAATGCATCGGGAACTAATTTGGTCAGGGGCATCACCCAAAACACAGTATCCACGCATGCTCTCTACCAGCATGGGTGCAGTAAAGATCTCCAAAACAATGCGAAGAAGCTATGTGAGACCCACATTCACAGCTGCAGCCCAGATCACCCGATTAATAAACTTTTTGTGATCTTTGACTCTTGGCACTTGTTATGCGTCTTACCTTACATAAACTGAAACATAATGAATTAATCATTAGAAACATGTATCCAAGATCTAGAAAAAAAAAACAATCAACAAAGCAACATTCAAGACTACAAGGATTATAATTAAAGACAAAGTCAACAAGGCTTCATCATATAAACTTTTGTCATCTCAAAAAGAAATTCTCTTTTCAGACAGAACAAGGAGATTTTTTTTTTTAATTACAGGACCAAAGTCAATACGTGTTTCTATGTAATAAAAAGAGAGAATCGCAGAAAGAAAATCAATTAAACGCGGGTAATGCGAACACGAGAACATATCAAATAACAACCAGATCCGAGAAACGAAGAAGGAAGAGAATCTGTAAAACGAAAAAGAAAGCTTACAAGGAGGAGAATCGTGGATCCAAAGAGTTATAAAACGGGGAAGATCTGAGCAGCAGCAGCGGCGGAGAATATAGAGAGAGAGAGAGATTGAGAGGAATGATGCGTAAAGAGAGACAAAGGAGAGGAGAGGAAGAAGAAAAAGGAAGAGAGAAGATATGGAAGGAGAGAGAGAGAGAGAAGAAGAAGGAAACTCTCCGTTGGTGACAGGCTGTAACCAGCTGTGATAACCGATAACTCTGGATCCGGGTTCGGGTTTGTTTCTTTGTGAGTTGTCCGGGTTTCGGATTTTTTTTATTGACGTGGCTCCACCCTGGCGGCGTTTGTCTTTTTCCTTTTTTTGTTTCGACAAAAAGTAGAATTAAATTAAAATAGTCAAACCTGGCAAAAAGGGATAACGAAGGAACAGTATCCGAGTATTATAAACTGGAAAACTGATACGAAGAATCGTTGACAACTAAAAAGAAAACCATTAAGTATTTTTATATTACGCAATAACAGATTACAGTGGAAACGATTTTGATTTATGGTACATGTTACAGCTGATGTTAGCCAATATTTTCTGTTGAGCAATGTTAATTTGCACAGCTGGAAGGAAGGATATGATGGAATAATTGGTTTGAGAGAAATACGTACTATGATTGGCAAACTTCCAATAAACTATCTTCAAACAGAAAACTCACCATAAACTGCAACATAATTACACCAAACGTTTAATTTTTGGGGAAAGTTAATCAATCTGAACCTTAAGATCATCATCTCCAACAAGTACTCTCATTTTGGATTAAAAACACCTTTAAAATGAGGAATTGAAGGTGCATTGCTCCAATAGGAACTATCATATTTATTTTAACAGAATTCGATATTTACATTTTTAGTTTTCAATATTATTCATAATTAAGAATAATCACTAAATATTATTTAATAAAAAAGTACTATAGAAAATTTAGAATGAAATATTTTGACAAATATATAATAAAAAATAGTCAGATTTAACTAGAAATAATAGAAAAATATTAATAATTAAACAAAATTATAAGAAAATGTAAATATTTTTTTGGGTCAGAAAATGTAAAGATAAATACTAAAAGTGATAACAAAAAATTATTCATAGAATTACTGCATCTTCAAATTTAAGAATATACTATTCACTCTTTTAAAAAATTAGAAAATGAATGTTTGTTAGAATGTAAAATCCCTCAGAAAAATAAAGATGAAAAAACTGTTAGAGATGATATAAAAGATAATTGGTGGAAGTAAACCTAAATATTAAGAATCGTTTTTTATTTATTTCAACTTCCTCAAATGTTACAACTATTTAATTTCAGTTTGTTACATTCACTAAACCAAACGCAAACAAAAAAAATTGTTGCCTATATATGTTCTAACTTAGACTTTGATTGCTTGAGTTAGGTTGGGGTTTGTTTTTTGGTTTGAGTATTTTAATTTCGTTTTTAGGATCTAGAGATTTAGAAACTGTTTGGATAATTAAAATTTTAAGAAAATGATTGATATTTTGACTTGGAAACTTATATTGTTCATAGCAGAAAATGTAATTTCCATTTCCCAACTATTTGCAATAGGCACATTTAATATTTAAGTATTTTTGCGCAATATTATTTTCGAACTAATTGTTGACTATATAAATTTAGATAAAATTAATCAATTGTTTAAAAGTTGATGAAAATTGTTAGTTTCCGTTTAGAGCATTTTCATAAGACACTCTATATTTTCAAATATGAAGTTTTTGGTTCTCCAAAAAGGAACTCTAAAACTTCAAATTTGAAGTTTTGAGTAATGAAACTTCAAATATAGTGTTACTACTCAAAACTTCAGATTTGAAGTTTTATATTTTTATTTTCATTTTAGTCCTTACAATTATACATTATATTTATAATTCTTATATATTTCGTGTTTTATCATTTTAACCCTTAAAAATTTATATCTCATTAATATTTAAATTTTATTTTCTAAATTTAAATTTTACACATTGTTTTTTAAAAAAAAAACAAGATAAGATGAAAAATAGTTAAAATTTGAACTAAACAACAATATTACAAGACTTAATGTGATATTTTATTTATAGTTTAATATTTAATTATATATTTTTATTAATAATTAAGATTTTAGTGTAATATTTCACTATTTAATATTGTGGTAATAATTTTATATATGTGCTAGTTATTGATAAAAGTTCTATGAATTTGAATTAGTTAAGACAAATATAAAGACCATAGTACAAAATAAAAATAATTTTAAAGCTAAATTTGAAGTTTTGCTTTTGGAGCATAATACTTACAAACTTTATATATAGAATTTTGCAAACTCTAAAATAGAGTCTTTTTGGAGATGCTCTTATGTGTTGTGTCAATGGTTAACTTTTAAAACCCAATTTTTGGGAAAAGAAAAAAGAAGTAGAAGTGCATTAGAAATAGTTGGGGAATAAAATATTTATTTCCTCTAACATGTGCATTAATTTAGTTTGAACATTATCTTTCAAAACAAAAAGTTAGAAAACTCATTATTTGGAAAAATGATGTAGAAGTGATGGCCCTTGGGCCAAACTGAAGAAGTTCAGGATTCCAGCCCTCTCTGCAGCATTTTTTTAAAGTCCCTTTGGTCTAGCGTAAAATTTCATTTACTCAGTACAGCATATCCGTTTAAAAAATACTAGTTGCAGTGTGTATTTTTTTCGATTGTTGGTTTAGTGGATTCTTCTAATGACACTAAATAATAATGAAATGGAAAGAACGTAGTAAGAGTGTAAAGTGGAAATATTGTATATATAATGTGTTAAATGTTATTTATATGCGAAGTAAGATTTATAGGAATAGTTAGGCTATAATATAGTTTTTAGTGTGTAAAAGTAGGTGTCTATTTTTTTTTTTTTGCTGTAAATAGTTTTTATATCGTAGGTCGAAACTTGATATAATTCTATATTTATAGTATTTATATTTGTATTAAACGATTTATCAATTTGAAAATAATTTTAATTAAGTTAATATTCGTTGTTTAAGTTCCATTAGATAGGTTTTTATATATGGTTTTTTTGTAAGTTTGGGTTTTGTTCATAAATAATGTGGCATTTTATCTACGGCGTCATCGACTGTGGGAATCCATTCGCTGGAGTCTGGAGTCGATGGTAAGGAATTTATTCAATGAAATTATAGTAGTTATTAAAATGTAAGAGAAATTACATATTCATTTAATAAAAAATGAAAATACTTAAATTTTGTTGTTTATTTTCTTTTATTTCACATACAATATTTTTGATATTATATTAGGAATGTGTTAAATGTTATTTATATGTGAAATAAGGTTTATAGGAACAATTAGGCTATAATATAGTTTTTACTGTGTAAAAGTAGGTGTGTTTTCTTTTGCTGTAAATAGTTTTTATATCGTAGGTCAAAACTTGATATAATTCTATATTTATAGTATTTGTATTTGTATTAAATGATTTATCAATTTGAAAATAACCTTAATTAAGTTAATATTCGTTGTTTAAGTTTCTTTAGATAGGTTTTTATATATGTTTTTCTGTAAGTTTGAGTTTTGTTCATAAATGATGTGGTATTTTTATCTACGGCGTCATCGACTGTGGGAATCCATTAGCCGGAGTCTGGAATCGGTGGTGAGGAATGTTTTCAATAAAATTATAGTAGTTATTAAAATGTAAGAGAAATTACATATTCATTTCATAAATAATGAAAAATAATTTAATTTTGTTGTTTTTATTATTTTATCTCACATGCAATTTTTTTGTAAATATATATTAGGTAGTATATGCAATGATTTAACTTTTTGAGCTTTTAATCTATATTATTCAAGCCTCATTAAGCCATCCACGTAGGCAGACGCGAGGGACTTATTATTTTATTTTTTTGGTCTGTTCGTTTTTGGATCCATTTTTATTATTTTTGGGTTGAGCTTTAGTATAATAGGATAGTTTTAAGGCTTTTAAAGCCATCCGTGTGAGACTTGCTTTTTTTTATTGTTCGTTTTTGAATCTATTTTTAGGGGTTTTGCCAAAATTAACCCATAACTTGGTTTTAACCCCAATACTAAACCCCAACTTGAATCAAATGAAAATCTAACCTAAAAGGGCTATGAAATTACAGTATAGTGCTCTGTGACCAAACAAAAAAACAGAAGACATTTTTACGAATATAACCCCAGTAAGTTGTCTGGGTCGGGCTGAGTTACTTTTCAGTCGTCTGGACGACTGAAATGTTAGTTGTCTGGACGATTGAATCTTAAAAATAATTTATAAATTCTGTACAAAATA